TGTTTAAAGAAAGGGCCCTGTTCATGGCTTTGAGTCGAGCACATATCTCTTATAACAGCATATAGTTTTTTTAAACTATTCTGTCTACTCTCTACCTTTTTATTATAGTATTTAGAAAATTCAGTGTAATTATTGATAAGGTAGACTTTATAATTCTCTTTTGTTATTTGTTTACTATTTACTTTTTGAACTTTTACTTTTCCATGCTGCTTTCTTGCATGCTAAATTTATGTCTTCTAGTATAGTCCCTTAATTCCATTCTTATTGCTTTATGTTTTTGAGTAAATTCTTGGTGAAGGTCCTGAAGATGACAATGAACATTTTCTTGTCCGTTAAGCTTTTCTAAGACCTAAGATCTAGGAGCAATTTGTCATCTGAGAAGTATCTGTTTTAATGAACTTCTCTCTTTGTTCAAATTCAGTTGTTTATATACTAAGCATCTGTTTTCTCCCCAGTAGACTATGACTCTTTCCAAGTACTTAATCTGGTGAGATTTTTAACACTACTAGCAATGACTTCTCTCATTGGGGTGAAGACATGAAAGGTCAGTGCTAGGGGTGATTCAGAGTAAGCGCTGTTCTCCTCCCTGTTCTTGCTCTCTAACCCCCCATGCCCTTGTCATAGTTTTTAGGTATCACGCTTCCCACCGGTCTGCAACACTCTCACTCTCCCAGCTCTGCAGAGACGTCAGTGCCAGGAGACCGCCCACTTCTTCCTGTGGCCAGTCATGAGAGGAAGAGGCAGCTAAGCGTGCAGAAGCACACCAAAAGTGTCAGGTAGACAACCTCCTCTCCTCTCTCCAGGATTCCTCACAAGTAACTTTGAGTTCGGAAGATGAAGGCTTGAGCACTCTGATTTATAATTTTCTAGTGGGCTCTCAGGCCATTGTCTAGAAAGATTATAGGCCTGGATGAGTTTTTTGGTATCTCTTTATGTCAGATAGACAGTTAAACCTACTAACTTCCTCTGAATGGATTTCAAAGATAGTCCTTAGCATATTATGCTGGGCTATTATAGTAATTTATACTTAGCGGCAATTTTCACATGGTTCTTCATTTATTGCATATAAAACCTTGTTAAGGTTGATGTTGGTTCATTTTAGAGACAAGTTTTGAAGGCCAAAGTGCTATATTCAGAGTGTTATTGACTGAGTCATTACCTTACTCAGAATAGACTGGCTGTTCGGAGCACTGTGTTTAAAACCCCTGCTGTCATGAAGATTGCAGTCCTGTGGGGGTGCGGGTGGAGGTGTGGGGAGAGCAGGAGCAGAGAGATGGATAATACATAGTAGATGGCACGAAGAGGTAAATTGTAAGTTATGGTAGAGCCAGTTTAGAGGGATGAGTTCACGTTGAGTCTTAAAGGGGTAAGGGAGGTCTCAGGACACCAGTGAAAGTTCAACACTGACTTTGAGGAGGTGGAGGGGGCTAGATATTTAATATCTGAGGCTAGAACATTTTAGTGAGCAGGATCAGAGAGTGTAAAAGCCCTACGCCCAAAGCATGCTTTGGCATGTTTGAGGAATAGCAAGGAGTCCGAGGAGAGCCAGTCCAGACCAGTGAGCAAATGGAGGGGGTGCAGCATAACAGAGATCAGGTCATGTTGGAACTTCTATACTATTTGGAGAACTTGAGCTTTTATGGTGGGAAATCAGTGCAGAGTTCTAAGCAGAGGAGGGACGTGATTTTAATAACCTCCTTTTACCTTTATATTGATAGTGGACTGTAGGGAGTGGAGGTGAGGGTTAGAACACAGAAGGCAATTCCAGAGGCACTTGAGTACTAGAGGAATTCATTGCTGTAATTTGGGTAAGAGATAATGGTGACTTGCTTCACTGGGGGCAGTGGAAGTAGTGAACAGTGTTCACATTTTGTATATATACATATATTTTTAATCATTTTATTAGGGGCTCATACAACTCTTATTACAATCTATACATACATCAATTGTGTAAAGACATTTGTACATTCATTGCCCTCATCATTCTCAAAACATTTACTCTCCACTTAAGTCCCCGGCATCAGGTCCTCATTTTTTCCCCTCCCTCCCTGC